CACCTGAGGCCAGGAGTTCAAGTCCATACTGTGAAGCACTGCAAAATTCTGTGTCTACAAAAAAATTTTTTTAAATTAGTGGGTCCTAATAGAGCAGGCCTATAGTCCTAGCTACTTGGGAAGCTGAGGCAGAATTGCTTGAGCCTAGGAATTTAAGGTTACAGTGAGCGATGATGATGCCACTGCACACCAGCCTGGGTGACTGATTAAAACTTTCTCTTAAAAAAGAAATGGTAATAGCATTTGACTCACTTCTAAGAAATGATCTGAAAACCAAATATGCCTGTAACTAAAGATGTGAATTATTATTATTATTTATGATAGTGAAAATGTTTCTCAAAGGACAAAGGGACAAATAAACTTTGGTTCATTTGTAAAGTGGAAATATATAGTCATTAAAAATAATGGTTAGGGGTGGCAACTGTGGCTCAGTGGGTAGGGCACTGGCCCCATATACGGAGGGTGGAGGGTTTGAACCCTGCCCCAGCCAAACTGCAACAAAAAAATAGCTGGCCATTGTGGCGGGTGCCTGTAGTCCCAGCTACTCAGGAGGCTGAGGCAAGAGAATTGTCTAAGCCCAGAAGATGGAGGTTGCTGTGAGCTGTGATATCACAGCACTCTATCGAGGCTGATAAAGTAAGACTCTGTCTCTTAATAATAATAATAATGCTTAGAGGAGTTCTTAATCGTATGCTGGAAAATGAAGAGGCAGTGAGGCAGTGATGAAGGGTAGGTAAAGTACTAAATAGATGACTCAGTAAATTCTAATTACATATAAAAGATATATGCATTGAATATATGGGCAGAAAAACCACAAAGAATAATAGATGAGTCTTTATACTTGAAATATATATTATTATTATTTTGAGACAGAGTCCCACTATGTTGCCCTTGGTAGAGTGCTGTGGTGTCACGGCTCACAGAGACCTCAAACTGTTGGGCCCAAGCTATTCTCTTGCCTCAGCCTCCCAAGTAGCTGGGACCATCGGCACTCGCCACAATGCCCAGCTATTTTTATTTATTTTTGTTGTTGCAGTTGTCATTGTTCCTTAGCTGGCCTGGGCTGCGTTTGAACCCGCCACCCTCAGTGTATGTGGCTGGCACCATAACCACTGTGCTTTGGATGCCGAGCCTATTATACTCACCATATTTTAAGTAATAAAATGTGTAAGTTTTACTAATGCACAAGGCAAAAATCAGAATATTATTATTGGCAAAGCACAGAATGTATTTCACAAACTGTATTTATCTGGTATACTCATGCAAGTTTGTAAAACTAATTTGTGAACATTCGTTCAATGACATTATTTCATTCCAGAACGTACCATACAAAGAGTGCAAGGAACTAGAGACAGTTAGCCTACAGAGGCTTGTCTGGAAGAGAGAAAGGGGCTGATTTCAGCGCAGGAGAGAATGGCACGCAGAAGGAAGGGAATCAAACTAATATTTACTAAGTGTTTAATAACGTACCGGACACTCTAGGTATCATCATACTAGTGTTATCTAAAGAGCAGAATAAGGAAAAGGGCAGCAGCACCTCCCTGCCTGGGGCCCTTGCAAGGCAGTTGGTTCTCCGAGCCTGGAATGCTCCTGTCTTCACTTTCTGTGTCTGGCTTCCTATTCATCTTTTAGTGCTCACCCCAAACATCTCCACCTCACAAAGACCTACTTCTGAGACAGGTCCTGCCCACAACGCTTTGTCTTACAGAAAGTACTACATTTTACAAGTTCAAAAAAAGACCTATCTTAAGATCTATTGCTTCAACTAGACTGTGAGATATGAGGACAACTGTTCGTGAAAGGAAAGAGGAGAGGGAAATGATGAAGGAAAAAGGGGAGAGAGGGAAGGGGGGGAGAACTGGTCAAAATGGAATGCCACACAAATGCTAACACACTTCACTTCCCAAGTTTGAGGGAGAAATCTGCCAATGACAACTCTTAAGAGTTCATGATAGGAGACGCGGTATCAGATCTAAGTCTTATGTCTCTGTTAATTTAGCCTACCATCTGTCAACCAAGGTTTCTATGTTTTAATTATGTATCATTTTGAGTGGTTGAGTAAAGTGTCTTAAAAATCCCCACATCCACTATCCTAACTCAGATTTTTCTTAATCTTTCGGCCTCAAATCCCCTTTAATTTATCCTACAACCTTCTGCTAGTATAAAGTTCTTTTTAACACTGTTTAGAGTTCATTGTCTTCTGAATTAACTCTAATTTCCTTATTTTGATGCTGAGGGTCTCTAAAACCTGGGAACCCTCTACCGTAATTGTAAAATGTTTCTCACAAATCGTGACAGCGCAGGATGCATGAACTATGCAGAGACTTTCCTTTTCTACTTCTGTGCTCTACTTCTAATATACTTTCCAACCCCACCAACCTTCCGAATACTGAACTGCTACCACAGCTGTCATACCCTATTTCCTACAGCAAAGTCTTTCCTCATTTCTCACTGGGAACAAGTTCCACTCTTGAACTCTTTGAACTCTTTACATCTTTCCTATAGGGGTTTATACTTTCAAACTCAGGTATCAGTATCTTCAGATATTCTCATTTTCAAGGAGCTTCCCGTTAGCTCAGAGTCAATCCGAGTCTGATTCACTTTGTTCTCTTTCAAAGGAGTAAAAGAACAATTTTACTTGAGTATAAAAATATATATGCTCATTATAGAAAACTGTTAAAAATACACGAGAATATTTTGTAAAAATACTAGCTACTATTCTACCCTCCTACAATAATCCGTGTACAGAAATAAAAGACTATCTTAAATGTATTATGTATGATACATGATATATATACACCAACTCATTTTTAAAACAAAGCAGGTCACATCTGAACACTGAAATGTGTCTGTTATCTTTCTTCTTTTTATCTGAGCATCCGAACTGGCTTATCTTGTTATCTTCCACAGTGCTTCAAATACAAGGAAGCTTTGGAAATTCAAGCATAGTGAACCTACCCATGGAGGAGACACTATTGCTTTTTGAGAATGACAAAATTATTGCTCAAGACTTATAGTATGCTTTCATATGGTAATATGATCCTAGTTTATTAATTTTCATACTTTTTATATTTTCAATAGACCTTAAACAACAACAAGAGACTACTCTACGTCTTGAATTTTTACTGTGAACAAAACCAGGTGCCCACTTTAATTCTTTCTCTCATCAAGTATAAAAAGAAACAAACAAAAATCCCAAACACGAGAAAATGTACTTTAGTACAGTCCTATATAGTACACAGTTTGCTGTCCTACCCTGAGGTACCTGCAGTGATTCTGGAAGTTTGATCATTTCCCTTTAAAAATTTTGCACACATCTAAGAAAATTGCCATCAGCAGACAGCCATTCCTAAATGATGATGTACACTGGCAAAGCTCTAAAGTAATTAAGAGGCAGTCTTCTCTTGTCTATTCACGGGACAGGCATGCACCTTATGCTAAGCATCACACTGTGAATTACGTGAGGTAAAGAAGACAATGCAATCCCTACCTTTAAGGGGCAAAGAGAATTAATATTATTGATCACTTGCCATAATCCGGGAAACATGCCAGCTGCTTTACATACATTATGTGATTGAATCTTACAAACAGATATTATATTCCCTTTTAGATGAGGAAGCTTAGAAAGGTTTAGTGACTTATCCATTATCACACAAGCAAGTAGATGGAAGACAAAATGAGAATCCTCTCTAATGCCTTTGACACTTTCTATTCTAACTTTCTTACATGACGAGAAGTGCATACTTTCCTCCTGTAGAGCCACTCATTGCAATTATCTGAAAAGCTGGCTTCACTTCCCCTCTGATCAGTGACCTGGTAATACTGATACTATGCATATAGAGCAGCAGGACTCAACAGGCAGACAGTGCCTTTTCTTTTCAGATTCACTGTTAACTTTCAGTGGAAAACTTACATCATTTCTAGAAAATGCAAATGAACTACTTGAGCTATAGAAGCATCTGCCCAAGAAAGCACGTCCCACTGTCTTGTGACAGGTGGGTAGACTGAGTCATAAGACAAAAGTTCTAAATTAATTTGCCAGTCCTCCTTTCTTACACTAGACTTTGAAAAACATCAGGACAAACAACAATAATTTTTTGGGATGGTGCTCCCATACTTTCAATTTCATAAGAAGCATTGCATCAATATACAAATAAGGCTAAATATCACCTTTGCATCATGCCCAATGTGGTTATTTTTGGAAAAAGACGTGGAATAAAAGCAAAGTATAAATCTGAGAGCAGCATGATTACAGAAATAAGTTAACAGTTTTAATCACATGAAATTTTTCTGACGGCAATGGATCCATCTTCTATGGAATGTTTTGTTTTCTTAGTGAACACAGAATTATTTAATAGTGAAATTAATCAAATTTGGACAGACTTTATAGTTGGCCTTTGACTCACCAATTTCAGTAGGAAAATTTAGTAAAGCCTAGATAAAACATACTAATCCTAAATAGGCCAAGTTTGTCACCTACCATTTCCCATAAGCTGCTTACCATAGTTAAAAAAAAAAAAAAAAAAAAGAGAAGAAGAGGAAAATTTAAATTAAATGCCAAACAGTTGCAGACAGCACTTGTTTGGCTGATTAACTTGTAGACAAGCATTACAAATAAATCTGAGCATGGTCTGCAGCAAATTAAATTCCACTGCTTTTAAGAACAAAGAATTCTTTGGCAAAGAGGATTAGCAACTTTACACCCAGGAATGCCAGTTTAATTTAATTGTTCCACAATCCAAGATTTAATATGCAAATATCATTTTGATATATAATAGTGAATTTAACAAAGTGAGGAAACAAATTCAATACACAACCAGACTGCCTTTTCTGAACTGTAATTATATACAATAAAGAAGCTGGCCGAGTTCCCCCCCTCCCTCCACATTATTGGGATTGAATTCTATTAACATGAATCAGAACAAGTGTAATTAAAGGTTAAAATTTTAAAATGAGTTTAAATAGCTGTACAATTAGAATACTGTAGTTAAAAATCACACCTCAATGATCTTCTTGGCCTCTTTATAATTTCCTGTTTGTAGGAAGGCAAAGAAGAGATCATAGAGCATCATCATTTCACCTTGTTCGTGGCTCACAAAGTCCATTGCTAGAGGAAAGAAGAATATATATTAGAAGAAAAAAAGAGAAATGCAGTATCATATGAGGTGTTAGACAAACAAGAAAACCTTACATTAAAAACAAATATTAAAAATAACTTAAAGATTATAGTTGTATTAATTTTCTATTATACCTCCTCACCTAATAAGCATATATATATATGACATTAAGTGTCTAAGAACAGTTTTGAAGAGAAGTAGGGAGGATAGGTGTAAACATCTTCATAAAGATAGATCACCGAGTAGAACACAAAAATAACAGATATTTTTCAAGATGAACAGTTAGTAGAATCAAGGTCATTTATGATGCTCAAAGTACACCCATTTTTCTTTTCTATTCACGAGAGCAGTGAAATCTCCTCTGGATGCGTCCACCTTCTGCTGCAGTTTCTCTTCACAACAATACATTAAGATTCAATAAGTGAGAAGGGAAAGAATCCAATTACATTAAGATATTAGAAGGTGACTAACCTTTCTGAATTAGCTCAGTCTCTCCTTTCTCTACCAGTTTACATAAAACATCATGAATCCTTGGCAGTATTTTATACTTTGCATGGCAGTCAATGATGGCTTCAAGAGCACCAGGTATGTCACCCCTTGTGGAAACATCAAAAAAATTTAATAATGAATAAAATTTATCTAATTCAGTTTAGTCTCTCAGTACTACTTTAAAGAGATATAAACAACTGAGCTTTATTTAAAGGCAGAAAACCACCAAGCTGAAATGGAAAGAAAAAGAGAAAAGGAATCCTCACATACATAAATAAATGTTCAAAATACACACATCGTTAGCAGCCCACTATTTACCTACCCTGTTTTAATCTTTTACTATTTTGCTTGCTAAATGGTACTCAAAAAAATAAAAAACCCAAGTAGATGAAAACATTTTCTGATTTCATTATGAATAAAATGGTCATATTTATGGAATAAGTTGCCGGAAGAATGTATTATTTCTAAAAGCAAAGACTATGGTCGTGTATTTTTTCCAACAACTTATGTGCATTTATGACCCTCGACAATTTCAGATTTGGGAACCTTTATTAAATGCCCATTAAACAGGTATCAAGGAATTTTCAAGCTCTTTTCATCTTTATCATAGTACTTGTCTCATACTGCCTAGGATATTCTGTGTGCCAGTGAATTCCAAGAAAACTCTTAAGAGTTTTTTCATTTGCAGGTAAGTTTTTACATATTATTTCTAATAATGAAGTCAAAGCTTCTTTTACGTGGTGAAAAATTAAAATAAAAAGCTACTGTAATCAAGTCAGAGTTTCTTAAACAAGGGTGCAGAAATACATGCCTGTGGGTTCTCAAAAAGTACTTTTATTCCTTTATAAGGAAAATGACAGTATGAGAGTTATAAAGATTACACGATCCAATTCTACTTGCCATCCCCTTCTATTTTAAAGAGATGAGGAAATTGAGGAACCTGGAGATTGACTGATTTGCCTAAAGCTACTAGGTATGTGGAGGAAGGCATTGGCAGGCTGTTCCAGGGACTCCTGGTATCAGTTCATCTTCTCTTTTCTAAAAAGGGAGTAGGAAATGTATTTAAAAGGAGGCAGGATTTAAGACATGGGCCCAAGTACAACTGGCGACAATCTTTGCTAAGAATATAAATTTCCCTCATATACACAACCATTTTCAAATGGAAAAAAACCTTTTTTCATTTTCTGTTAAAGCCTTAACATTTGTGTCCATTATATAAATGTTATGTTGCCCTAGAGTGAATTACTATTTTAGCTAGATTAAGATTTTAAGTTGTACCCAAAAGGTAAAATACAACAAAGAAGCATTAATTTCATCACAGTAATACTGACACAGTGAAATAAGCCTATCCTGAGGGAATTCTCCCACATCCCCTCACTAGGCCCTGTTTACAGTGCATCTCCTGGCACCCCACAGAGCCATTTGAATTTTTGTCATTTGGGGTGAAGACTAAATTACAGGTTAATTTCAAAACTACAAGTAGATGTTGCAGGCTAGATTACTGTCATACAAGAGAAATGGTACTGTAGCTACCACATATGATATAAAGCTTTATATAACCGGTATTTTCCCTTGCTTCAGACACAAGTTCAGTTATTGCCTTTCTAAAATTCTGCTTAATGAAAAACTACTAAAACATTCTGAAGAGCAAAACTAACACATAATGATTTTTTTCAAGGAGCAAGATTTGTTTTTTCAGATCAATTCCCAAACTAGAATACCACTGTCTCAATTGTATATTTCTCCTACATTAGGCCAAAGCTATCAATAAATGAATGAATAATTGTTCTGTCAATCAAAGCGACATTTTAATAGTCTTTGGTCTCCAAATATATGCTTCTGAAGATGATACATGCTCAGAACAACAACAGAAAAGACAAGAATAGCAAGATGGAAATAATTCATATATTTGTTAGTAATTTTAAGCACCAATGTTACTGCTTTTAGGTTGCCAACAAAGTGAACTAGAAATTTATAATGAAACACTTCATGCAAAGTCAACTGGAGATAGAAATAAACTAAATGACTAGTCAGTTCTTTTCAGTATTATTTACATGCTGACTTACTGGATCATGTCATTTTAAAAAGATAAAAATGTATACTCCTTACGTAATTTATGTCATCATTAATCTTTCATTTTAAAACTTAGGTGATAGAAATGAAAATATGATAAAAAGCATTTAAAATTTGCATGGCTATGAAAATAGCTATACACCCACAGGACTCTAGATCTCAATCCTACTGATAAATCAGAGTACTTAGACAGCTCAGCTGCAGCAATGTGATACATTTCTAGAAGTGGTGATGAAAAGCAGATTATCACAATGGCTGATGCAAAGGCCTGGGCTTCCTTCCCAGTTCTAATACTGTGAGGTTCTGTGAATATGTCCTTATTAGGTTCACATATTCAAGCGCGTCATGCCAGCAGTAGAAATCATCACAGAAAAATACCACTTTTATTAGGCAGGATGAAATCAGTATGAGCAATAGAATATCAAAAGGAGAAAGTTGAAAACTGCTTTATAGCCAAAACGTGGAACATCATACTTTTAGCTTCTATGACCTAAGTAATCTGTGATTTCCTTTGTGCATTAGAAATAATTTAAAACCCTACTCAAAAATAGCAATAATCCTTTGAAGGAATCCTTTGAAGAAGTTAATGTTGATGCATTAATTCTGCATTTGAATTTTGAGCCATGCTTATTTCAGTATATATGCATCACTCCTAAAGCTTTCCATACAAATTTTTAAAAGTTTATACCAAATGTTTAGTCCCTGCTTTGATAAACCACAAGTAGCACCTAAGGAAAATCAACTCTATAGATAATACTTTCTTTTCTTTTTTTGTAGAGACAGGCACCTAGGCTGGAATGCCTGGCAACATGTAGCTCACTGCAACCTCAAACTCCTGGGCTTAAGTGATCCTCCTATAGCAGCAAGGATGACAGGCATACACCAGAATGCCCAGTTTTCTTTTGTTTTTTGTTTTTAATTTATTGGTAGAGACTACCCTGGCAACTCCTGGTCTCATGCGAAGTGCTGGAAGTATAGGCATGTGCTACCATGTGCAGGCCTATGATCTCTTTAAACAAAAAATCTATTGTGAGAGATATATATATACACACACACACATATAGATATCTCTATATATGTATCTATCTATCTCTCTATATCTATATATTTATATCTATATCTGTGAGTCTATAAGGTCAGAAGAAAGATTTAAAAATCTATAATTTTAGAATTTAAAAATACATAGATATAATAATAGGCTGGGTATCCAGGAAGTAATCTGAAAACTTAAAAGCGAGTTACATTTATTAACCTGAATAAACTCACGTGGCCCACATCAAAAATCACTCTACAATCTGTAACATTTTTTAAGAGAACATGAATTATATATAAAACAACTACAAAGTATAATTTTTTTTTTTTCAGACAGAGTCTCACTATGTTGCCCTCAGTAGAGTGCTGTGGCACCACAGCAACCTTAAACTCTTGAGTTCAAGCAATTCTCTTGCCTCAGCCTCCCAAGTAGCTGGGACTACAGGCGCCCACCACAACGCCCAGCTTTTGTTTTTTAAGTTGTCATTGTTGTTTAGCAGCCCCAGTGTATGTGGCCAGCGTCCTAAGCATGGAGTATGGGCGCTGAGCCTACAAAGTACAATTTTTTATCATTTCATGGAGGAACATCCAAAAAGCCAAAGCTTGCAGCCCACATAGCAAATTTGATATTACCTCTTGTTTTAGTCCTCATTATGAAATTCAAGTTTGTTACAATGTCACTGACTGCAGGCATCAGCTCGTCACAGAAACAAAGTACTCCTAATTAATACAAATTCCTCAATACTTAACAACTCAAAGTCAGGAAACAACCAGTGACACTATCTGTTCTTTTTTCTCCTGGTAAAATAACTTTCCAATCCAGGGAATATACTTAAACAACAAAAGAAAAAAGGGTGGCAAATATTGACTTTTAATTGGAATAAAGTGCTTCAACATTATATATAAAGTGTTAGTGAAGTGGCAATTTATTTAAAGGGCTTTCTGATTGAAAAGCTCTCAAATCTTAAATCACTGGAGAAAAGAGGGGTTGTAGGGGGTAAAGTTTAAAAAGGAAAAAAACAAACTCAACTCCCCTAAAACAAACTCCTCTATAAATCTTAAGTAAATGTTCAGTATAGGAAGAATGAATTCAAGAGAAACCATCATCTTCACAAAAATTATTCTGTTAAAAGAACCAGCCCTTGAAAGAGCTGTTTTTTTCTGTTCATCATCTATAAATGAGGAATCTTCAAGGAGACTGGTGTTGCAATTACAACTAATCCTCCCCAAAAAATTAACTGTGTTGAAGGCTTTGTAATTTCCCTAGGTACAATTTAGCTGTCACTTACTTTAAAATTTACTCAAACATGCGTTCGGAACAGCACTAACTTCACATGTCAAGTGCTTTCCAGCCAATTGAGTCTAAACTGGAAGTCGGTGTTAAACAACTGAATGATTAGACAAGATAGCTCATTTCCCTGCTCTTTTGTTCAGAATAAAATGCCACATTTACATTATCAGGCTCACCAGGATTTTCTGACAGAGAGAGAAAAAACCCTCCTGCACACTGTCCGCACTAAGCATATGAAGCCTGTCATTTACCAATCATCCTTCAAAAAGCAATAGCCATGAATGTAACTTAATTATGACCCAATGATCCTTGACGAAAAATCATCTTATCACTGTCTTGTCCCCCTAGGGCAAATGAACCACTTTTTGTCCTTTGGCACTGATGATGCTAAATTCTTAATTGCAATAATGGAGTAAAAGAGCCAAACCTCCTTAATTTCCTTTCAGCACATAAAGAGTTTTACTCTAGAAGGCAAGCATTCCCATAAATAATAAAAGTATCCAGTACAAATGAAGACGCTAAAATTGAAGGGGAGTGTGTATGGCAGAATAATCGGCATTTAAAAAGTATATTTCCTGTTTATGTAACACTGAAGTGTTACAGTGAGTTTCAAACCTACGTTGTTAGAGGTTCTCCTTAAAGAAATTTCAACCCTTATGAAGAACTCAAGATTAATTTAGCCAAGAATTCTGGGAGGATTATATATACAAAGTCCATGATGCACTTAAATGAAATGCATACGAGCACACACAGATTATAGCACAAATCAGCACAAAAACTCCTTAATGGAAAGCAGAAATTAAAGCTGCTTTGATCACTTGCGCTAATATAATCTAGTTAAACAGCTTCAGTTGTTTTTCACATGCACTGAAAGCAAAATGGATCTGGTATAAAACAAGTGAATCTGAAATTACATCGTCCCAATTTCTATGATCCCAAATCTGGTGGCCCAGACTTTATTAATTTCATTTCCTACATCACAGCGTGAAGACTAATCAAAAGCTTTTAACCTATTTGAGGCATTTCTTTCTTCTTCGATATGAAGAATCTTCACCATCTCCCTAAAACAGGAATGATTTTAATAAAAGAAGCACATTTTAAAATAGTTACAAAAGAAAATGTTTTAAATAATATTTGGGCTACATATAAATATGTGGCTTAGGCACTGTACTGCAATGTAAATCAAACCCACAAAAATTTTGAAAAACTGTATATTTCTGTTAAATACAAGGAATATCAGAAGCAGGTTTCCCAACTTTTGTATAATTTTCTAAACCTGTTAATATTTTTCACTTCCCTTGACAAACAAATAAAAACAAAATGTTTTACTTCCATAACCATAAAGCTTTTTTCCATTATCCAAGTAACACAGACTAACACAATATTAATTTCTTCTGTATTTCAGATAATACCGAAAAAGTTCCAAATTAAAATCTATTGACTATGAAAGATTATCTTTCTAAGGAATTCGATCTCATGAATTTGCTTCAGAATTACAATGTAAAAATAATATTATCTTTAGAGTCTTTTGTGGTGACATGTCAACAAGTTGTTCCCTTTAAATGAAAGGATGAAGATTTTTTTTTATGACATTCTCAAATGTTCTTTATAACTTTATCACAAGTTTGAATAAATAAGGCTCACTCCTCAGGTGAGCTTATATCTGCTAAGGTCCATTACATGATATTTCTGAAGATTAAACTCACTAAATGAAATCAAATACACGTGGACTTTTGGCAGGGCAGTATAGTTAATCCTCCTCATACTTGGCATGATTCTGAATTAGTCAGCTATCAATGTTTCATTCTAGCATTTCACCTATGAATGCTACTACTGTTTTCTGTAATTTCATAAATATGAAATTTCCTTTACTTCCTTTTTATTATTCTCATGACTCTGAAACAGTTAACAAAACCTTTTTTAGTATGATAGATGAAACTCAAAGACCTTGTCATGGATATTGCCTTTGCAAAGTCAAAGACAGTAAAACAAAATAACAAACTAACAAAAACCTAACAAACAAAAAAACAAACTAAAAACACATACTAAGCAAATAAAAATACAAGGTAATAATAAAATAGAAGATACAAATATCTGAAAGTAATAAGACACCATAAAGAAAAATTTACTAACCTAGAATTCTTTAGCCCAATTAATAGGGAGAGCCAAATTTGACTGAGACATAGAACTATCCAGCTATATGGTGTTTGCACTATACCATCGATGCACCCAGCTTCAGGGCAGCAGCTGAATTCCATGCTGCTCCCACTGTCCCTTGAGTATATGCCCTCCTTGGTTCATGAGCCCCATCTGCAGACCTCTTTCAGAAAACTTACACGTTTTCTCCATCTTTAAAATATTTCTCTGTATAAGAAAAATACTTTCCTACCATGGCTTCACAATTTCATTGTTAATTATTTTATTTTTGCCCAGTAGTGTAGGAGGGCCTAATTCTTCTGGGCACAGGGCCCACTTCCTTCAAATCCTTATGCAGAGTTCCACATGCAATTTACAGAGATGGGTCTTTTAAATATTTGAAAAAAATTCGAACAGGAAGCATATTAATTATAGGATTTTTATATAAAGTTGGCTATGACTAAAACTCAGTAACACAGTAATTCTTCGAATCACTATTTCTTTTAAAGGATGTACTGCTGAGAAAGTAGAGGTTAAGATTTAGCCAATCATCCAACTTGATAATTGTTTTTGATGAGCGGGCAAAGGAATTATTTCGTGTGTGCATTCACACATTTCCTAGCAGAGAGTTAGAAGAGATGTTTTTTATTATACATTTCAAATTCAAACTAAATCACTCACTATAATACAATTAATTCTGCTCTTTAGTAAATAAAGAAAAACTACCAGAAACTTGGGAATAATACGAGAACCATTAAAATATATATTTTCTTTTTCTCCTGGCATTGATAGGGCAATGTCCATACTAAAATCAGGACATCTCAATCACAAAATAAGCAGATTACAAACTGCATTAAGCCATGGAAAAGATGACAAAGAGATAAGATCTACAAAATTAAAAAAACAAATCAGAAAACAAAAAATTCAAAAGGAAAAGAAGATAATAAAGGGTGCTTAATCATCTTACTGAAATGTTTCACTCATTACAACAGAGTAATTTTATGATTTGCATTGCAAATAATGCCTTAAATTGGATACCAACAAGAGCATTTCAAATGGAAAAATTTTCATACTCAGTAGATTTTGCCCTATCCACAAAATCCTTCCCACAAGACACAGACATTTTCGGCAACATTTATCAAAGCTAAAATAACCTTACAGATACACAAATAAAATACCCTATGGAAAACAGGAGCAACTTTCTCCACATTTGTTACCCGAATGAGCCGTGATGTATAATCAAAAGCCCCGGAGGATCCCTCTTAACACTTATTAGGCTCAAAACTGGGAAAAACTAGATTCAATTTCACATAATATCATCACATGCTCCTAAGAAAAAGCCCCGGAGATCATTCCATTGAGACGCAAGCCCCAGAACCAAAGGGTTGCTGGTGATTTTAAAGGTCACCTAGTTCACATTATTCCTTTTATTCTGTGATGAATGAACTCCAAGGCTTCCCCATCACCAGAGTATTTACAAAATAGAATACCCAAGTGATTAGACTCATTCTTTTAATGCCAACATTTAAAATTCAAAATTCAATTAACTTACTTTTCCAGGTATACAGTGATCAATGGGGAACTTAGGTTGGTGGATGGTTTTGCTAACCCTAGAGTCACCATGGCTTCATGCAATTGTTTTACTGTTTCAGTTTCACCTCTGAAAGCTGCACCATTTAGGACGTGGAAAAAGGCCGTGACTGTTGTATCTTTGATAAGAACATCCTTCTCTTTCATCTCCTTTAGAATGTTAATAGCATCTACAATGAAGTAACACAAAAGACCCTTAGGTAATTTCATGTAGGGAAAACAAACTGCTATTAAAACAGCATTTCAAGCCCAGCAGGAATGTAAATTCTAGTGTATAATGCCGATTTCAAGTTAATTACTACTTGCATTTCTAAACGAGACTACAATTATAAATCCACAATAGCATGGTTTTATCATTTCCCTGCAACTTTGACTACAAATTATAGATAGGGACTGTGTGCCCACTCTGCACCACATAACCCTGTACGGTCTGCCCTATAGCTGTAAGATCCTCCTAAATGGATGCTTTTATCGTTCAGAGCTAACATCTGCTAAATCACACCATTGTTTCTTCAGCAGATGGCTTGTCAGGAGGCCAGATAATAAAGATGTGTTTACACTGTATATACAGCCAGACTAATGGTCTGATACCGATAGGGCCTGTTTGCTATGTCGATACTAATTAGCCAAGCAGAGCCAATGAAAGCTTTCCAAAAGACTGCATGTTAATACATTAGATTCATTAAGCTTCATTAGGAAGGCAGAAACAAACATTTTAGGATATGAAATAAGTGCATTTTTATAGCACTGTTCTTAATTATTACACAGACAAAATGTTTGGACCAAAAAATGATTTAAAAAAAAAATGCTAACCCTTGTAAAGAGAAAGACTTCGTACGGGGTAAAAAATGTTCTAATCTAATATTTTCCCCATACATTTTTCTCTATATTAAATTAAAAGTCTTTTCTAGAAAGGAAACAGAGAAAGGCTAAAAAGGAAGTTACAAAATACAGATAGACCAGAAAGTTAAAACACAAATAGTAAAAATATGTTATCAAGTGCAATTATTAATATTAGGCTTAGCATTATCTCAACAATGTGAAAATCAGAGTACGATAATCAGCTATCAGCTTTGCTTTTCTCATAAACTACTAAGTAAATTACACATTTTCTTAATATTATATTAAAAACTAAGACAAAGAATACTGCAAAATTCAGATCATAGATATATGGTTATGTTTACAGGTTTTCTGTTCAGCCTTCAGACCTTCTTAAGCAAAAACAAAGCCATTAGTGCAGGCACATAAGCAAATTGTGCCATAAGTCATGATCTTCAAACTCAATCCAAACAGCAATGCTAATAAAAACTAGCTGCAGAAATGCAAAAAGCACTGAGCTGTGCAAATGTAAATGACAAGCTTGCCAATCCATTAAAACTAATGGGCTACACTGTCCATGCAGCTCTGGTTGGATTCACATGCAAATTTGTATGCAAAGTGTTCAAGCACTTTGCATGACATGATATACCATTAGTATCAATTCACATGTTATTCCAGTGGCAGGATACCTGCATCACATATTTCCTTTATGTGCTGAGGCTTACCTTGGAGTTTGCCATGCTTTCCCAATACTTTTACGAGCTCTACATACGTCCTGGTGTGAAGGACAGCAGATGAATCTAAACGGTCTCTAAAAATTAATATTATGGTAAAAAGTCAACTAACTGCAAAAGAACTGCAATATCCATAGTATCATTTTTCAAAAGCTCATCAATCAGCTTGTTATTAACATTGGCTTCTTCTACACTTAATGATTTCTTTTTGAAGTCATGTAGAAAAGCACACATGATTATATTCAAAGTGACTAGAAGTAAAACTTCTAACGGTAGATACATCTATGGTACCACTCCATCTGCAGAGCACACTAAGGAAGAAACTCTGGCTTTATGTGATTCTAACCTTTACCGCCAATACTGAAATACCCCAAGACACATTTTATCTGATAAAACTATCAGGATAGGAAGCCAAAGATATCTGAGAAACAGACAAAATTCTGTTTACACTACAATACAGAAAAGAAAATGTTATGAAACTGTGTAACAGTTTCCATCACCACTGTTGTGATAGGCAAATGTATAATTAGTGGAAAAAAACTTCAGCTTTAAGGACTAAAGGTCTTAACACACAAACAAAGACACCCTGATGAAAATAAGCCACAATTAATCAAAGATATATATACTATGAAATTTCAGAAACACTGACAACACAAGAATTTTTAAAAATTACATTATGTAAGAGAGTAATATTAAATCTAGGTAAGCTATCAAACGGCTATATTTCAGAATAAATGTTGATGACCTGTTTCAGTGGCAAGGTACTCACAATTCTTGTTTCAAGTTCAATGCTTCTTCTGCATTACTGTGTCGACAACACAAATTTATTAAAGCTGCATAGCCACCAAAAACCATGTCAGATGCATATTTTGCTTTCAATTCAAGGGCTTTTTGCATATTCTAAAATAAAAGAGAAGTAAAAAAGAAGTAACCAATGTAAAGGTAAAAAATGTCAGAAATTTATTTTTAATGTTTAGAGTTCAGAAAAAGTTAATAGTACTTTTAAAATAAATGGTTTCATGTTATCGATTGACCCTGTCCTTTGGTATTTTCATTCCCCTTTTATAAAGCAGACAAGTCAAATATATATGAAAAGGTTAAAAGATGAGTTATTTGTAATATGAAAGAGAATATTACTGATACCAAGTTTGTTGTTTTCGGTTTTGGTATGGTATTATTATAGACTTAAAGATCAAATAATTCCCAAATCGACCCCGACTCACAGTCCAATTTCCAAACACAGAACTGTGTATCACTGAACAGTTCCCACAGTCTAGTTTAGCACCCACGTAATGTGAAGAAAGATTTTAGAATTTAACAGTATCATATTATAATCTCAGGGTTAGTTATAACATTTTTCCCCTAAAACCACAGGCTTACGACCAAATCACATTGAACTAGAAACTGAAAAAAAGTCTATAGTGACATCCCACAAATTGCAGACACCCACTAAAATGAACACAAAGTACAGCTGGACGCCTGCTGAAAAAAGGCAAGAGACCCTTTATCTCAGAAAGAGCTTTTTTCCAGGAGGAAAATGGAATTTCAATCCCTGCATTAACAACCTAGTTATATTTGACTTGCAAATGACTACTGCATGTATCAGTTGCTTGACAATCTAGATATAAGAGACCGGAGCCATGGCTTGAAAGGACATTTGGCATGTATGATAAACCTATCACGGTTGTTACTATCATTCACTTTGCAGATTATTGTAAACAAACTACAGCAACCCGAAAACATGCCATTCAAGGTGTAGCTGAAATTAGTTAACCTTTCATTTAATTGCATCCTTTACAAGCATGGCATAAAATAATCAATTGTAAAAATTATAAAGACTATTTTTGGTTTTGTTTACTGTTCATCTATAAAGAAATTTTTACCTTAATAACTTATTAAAATATTTAAACAAATATTACCTCTTCTGAACAAAGCACTAATATGAGTTGCTTTAGGACATCTCCTATAGGTTGATTTTCAGCTTTTAGTTTTTCAAGTGTAGACTCCAAATCAGATGATTTGAGTTGCACAGTCTATAGAAATGGAAAGAAAAAAGGAAAAAAGTTCACCAAAAAAAAAAAAAAAAAAAGAAAATGCATGCCTTTTCACTCTTTCCCTTAAACTGACTTTACTCTCTGCTTTCCTAAATGTCATCTATGCTACCAGGAATATTAGTTGGGAGTTCCATGTGTAGACGCAAGGGGTTTATGAACCTCCTGAGACTATACGCAAATTTGTTAGATGTGTCAATTTTTCTGAGATGGGTTTTTACCAACTTCCTAGGGGTATAAAGATGATAAAAATACGTTAGGAACCATTGCTTTTATAAAGACACAGGCTAGAATTACCATTAAATATGGTTATTTTAACATTTAGAATCCACTTCCAAAGTCTACTTACTTTTCGAGAGTCTATCTTCTCTCTTTCAACCAACACATAAACATCCTAAAATTGGGATTTAAATTATCATACAATTAGAAAACATGGGAAAATATATTAGCAAATTTCAAAATAAAACTTTGGAAGTCTCACCTCATTTTAATGCTACTTTTCCATCTTTCCAAAATTATGCATTAATTTTATTTATACTTTACTAATCATTATAATTAATGTTTTAAATGTATTCTTCAATATATAAATAGCATTTACAATCAAGGAGAAGCTTTATTTTATTGGTTGTCGTTGAAATAATATTTTTTTGATCAAAAGCATCATATTTAAATAAAATCACAACACGCTTTTATATATAAATTACCCATTTTATCAAGCTGATTACTATTTCACACACACCTTAATTAATTCAGGAACGTGGTAGCTATCCAGTAGATTGCGAATGCCTCTGTAGATATTTTCAGGAATTTTCACATTCTGTGAGAAGAAAAGGGGGGGGACACCCCTGAGTTTTTTAGACAACTAAACTGAAATTTGTCTAACAGAAATTATCTCAGACATAATTTAAGTCTCCAACTCTTGCATGTCATTGAGAAGTGGTCTGGTTGTACTTAAAAGCAGCAATTTCAAATCTAATAGATACATGTCAGGCAGGACAGGCATTATATAGCAAAAAATGAAATGGTACCATCTCCTTCAGCTGATGGAAGTATTGTCTCAAATGCTCCTCCTTGGCCTGTACCTCTGAGTCACTCATGCTGTCAATCAAGTTATAAAGAAAATAGCCAACAGCTTCTGTGGAAAAAAACAAGAGAAAGCATTCCACTAAAATTACCAAGACTGTCATGTTATCAAGATTAATTTATAAGAAATCATTTTGGTGTGAGATGTCACCCTGATGAGAGGCTCTGAAATGGCAACAATGATCACTGAGGCATAGAGATTATGTGGTTTGGGAGCACATATCTAACTGGTGAGTGAAAGGAATATTAATTATTTTCAGACCGAGTGACAGCTTTTCAGTACTGAATCTTACTTCAGTCTATTTTTTTTCTGCCGCTCTGTGACAGAAGCGGTCCTGCCCAAGGCCTTACCCCTCTCCTGTCCAAACTGCAAGTACTAAGAATAAATAAATGTCTTATACACATTTCTATACTAGTTTTTTTGTGGACAGTATTTAGAGAAGCACGTAACATTAGAAAGAATTTTTAAAGGCTGAGTATAGAAAGTTAAATAATTTTAATAAGCAGATACAGTAATCCTGTGGAGAGCTACCTATTAGCCAATGAAAAACCAAGATTAACACAGATGTTTTATAACAACAGTAATTTTCCTATGCATTCAAGCATAAAATATATAGGGCCACGTGTTAATACCTAGGATAGAAAATTTGAACTTTCTGGAAGGGTACTTACTTCTTACAGAAAACTACATAGTCTAAGCCTCATTACACGAAAAATGAAAATCATTAAATGTCAAAATAAAGCATTTTGGGTAATAAACTATATTTAAGTGGGAAAAAACGACAAGACTATTTTCCTACTTTGTATATTTAAAATTAACTACATCTCCAAAACACTAAAACCACATAAATATTAAGAATCACTGATTTTGAAGACTATTTCCGAAGGTGCTATAAGAAACAGTTCCTCATATTTGAATAGAAAAAGTTTACCAACCATGCCTTGAAAAAATAGTAATAAAAGAAAATATCTCGGATCTCAACATGTGGTTATCAATATCAACATTTATAACCAAATGTTTTCAAATTTCACTATCAAAAATAAATGTTTACTGCTATAATCCTTCTAGCACATCATTACCCAGAAGAATGGATTTGTGGATAAGTTACAATCATTGAAATTGAAACGCTACCCGATGGTCCTGTAGGTTCCTGGCAATATCGTCCATCCTTGTACAACAATTCTGTTATCTGGTAAGACAGAAAACCCATGCATTGCAGCAAGAGAAGCAAACAAGAACAAATACAATCTGAAATTGAATTCTTGAAATAATAAAGCCTCTCCCCAGTAAGATACTCTATATCACAGTAATTCAACAACGCCGCCACCCACCAAGGAGATTGTTTTGTTTTGAAATCATAGGTTTATCTTTTAAAAATAAAACCATGTTGAAGGAAAACTGCAATGTTTTCTGAAATGTCACAAAGAAAGCTTCTAAATTGATTTGTAAAGTGGTATGTAAACATCACTTTAAATGAATTGCTATACATCGAAAGTAGCTGATAGGAATTATCAACCCAAACTACTTCCCCTAATATTGCTTTTGGTCTTGTTGAACGTGGACAAGTTTCCACTTCTTAAATAAAACTTTTCTGAAATAATAATGCAAAATATCTTGAACCATCAAACCACTAAATAACCTGGCTTTTAGTTATTTCAGTGACAATTTTCCATTCATCTTAATGGCTCTAAATCAAAACGGGTCAAAAGATGTACCATGTTTGTTCTCACTTATTCCTATCAATTGAATTCACAAACACTAAGACATACAGAACACTTATTTTTCAAAGTTAAATCTAACTGTAAAACTTTAACTTAAAAAATTCAAATGTATCTTATAATAAAAACTATTACACAACTTATATATTGACTTAGATCTTTAAATACAGTATTTGACTGTATATCCTTAGGCTGAAGATAATAAGAACAGAAACATATGGTAGTTGTCCAAAGTGATAAAAGTCAGGAATTCTGAACTACGTTATGTGTATTCTACAACTATGCTTATTTGCTCTTAAAGCAGTGCCTGGTCTAAGTGTTAACAACTCATACTGTAGTAATTTCTACTACTATTTATTTGCTACTATGGAAAATTAGGCAAAACTGATCATATGCCACCATGAAAATCATGCTGCAGTTAATGGCAATTCAAAAGGCATCTAAAGCAGAAACAAGAAGTGTTCAAAAGAAAAGCAAAACACAGAAATCCTCACCTACAAACTGTTTTTTAAAAAATACACATATACGGCGGCGTCTGTGGCTCAAGGAGTAGGGAACCGGCCCCTTATGCCAGAGGTGGTGGATTCAAACCCAGCCCTGGCCAAAAACCAAAAAAAAAAATATAATAATAAAAACCTCTAAATTCTACACTATAAAAGGGTAAGTTTAAAAAAAAATACACATATAGCTGAATCTAACATGTACTTTTGGGGAAAAAAATTAAATTAAATAAATAAAAAATAACACACAAAAGACAGTAAATTCTACCAGAAGTTGTAGCTACGTATTAGATGTAAGCCAGTCACATTTCATACCAAATTTTGGATAAAAGTAATGAATAAATAATGAAAATATCTCTAATCAAAAAAATAATTATTTCTAGATATAAGTATCCCAACTATATATTAGAATGGACTATATAATTCAAATGGCAGTTCAAGTAATACTAGATATAGAAATTAACATTTAAAAAATACTTAAAATGGGGATTCCAAGTAATAATTGTGCATTATGATTTAATTAAGCTAAAAATCTTTCATAGAATTCTACTTTCTGCATAAAATCAGTTAATTTCTTTAAAAGGTAGGAGTATAAAGTTGGTCTCTGCATCATTCATATCTATAAGCACATGCACATTAAGAAAATTAATTATTAAATCTGTATGGTGAAATGTCACTATAATAATTGTAACAGCTTTCATTTGAAAAACTTAAAAACCTTATTAAGAATTTGAGACTAAGTCAAAGACTGCTTCAAGAAGAAATTTCATGCTTTTTTAAAACTACCAATTTCAAGATTCTAAATTCATAAACTTATGATCGTACATTCTAAATGTGTGATGCTATTAAAACTTTTGTTTTTAGTTTTTTATACACCACCTTATGATTTGCAATATTAAGAGCACTTACCTTGCTCCAAAGATTTATATTCATAGACCTGCAGAGGGCAGCAAAGGATTGAAAATGAACCCAGAGATTACAAAACATTTTAAGGTAAATTGCACTATTATTTTATATAATATCTTCAGATCAAACTCTTAAAACTAAATAAGCATATAAATATTGGCAAAATGAATTCGAATTTTCAGGACAAGGGAATTGAGAATGGTTGACCCTCACCTATCTGAATCTTCAAAATAAAGACCAATTTGGGCAAGAATAATTAAAGAACCACCCCTCCATTTGGAGTTCAAGTTTGATGGAGCAGGATATTTGCATGGTCTCAAAGTGACTGCCCACAGGCTGCTTGTTACTTGTAATGGGAAAAACTGTAACTACATAACAAAGAAATTGAACACCTTGACTAGATGATCAAAATTAACAGGTCTTTAGCATATACTGATAATTTTCTAAGAAAACAGACTGTCACCGTGGTAGTCCAGTGTGGGATGTATAACGTGACGCTAATTGGGGGCTGGAGGGAGGGGACTGAAGGACTATGCCAGTAGACTTCAAAAATGTTAATGCCATAAAAAACAAACACTGAAGAACTTTAAGTACTAGAGAAAATTGAAGAGAAATGACACCTAGCATTTATCCCAGAACTGGAATCTGAATATAAGGGAGAAATGCTAAAAAGGATAAAATGGATTTTCAGGTACCACTGACATTCCAGTTCCTAATCTCAGTGGTGGAGAAGAGGTATTGTTTCCTTTTTTTATACAGTACATTTAAGTTTTAGATACTCCTCTAAAACTTCAACACTCCTTTACATACAATACAGTTCACAATTAAAAAAGTAAAAATAAAAGTTCCAAGTTCTGACCACTAATAAAACAGTGGGGCCAGTTTGAACCCAGGCAGTTTGGCGGCAAGCCTTGGATAAATTAAATTAATTCTTGCCTTCTTGTCTGCCCACAACCAAAAGAGGTTTTTGAGGAAACAGACTTGAGACGATAACTGTTTGCTCTATATCTAATTCCATTTACACCTTTCTTCCTGTTTGAATAACAGGTTTGAAGAAACCAGCTCCTGTGAGGGCTATTTGCAGCTTTTAAGTGAGGTTTTTCAAGTAGATAACAGAATTTGAAAGAAAAATGTTGCCAAATCACGAAGGAACCTTGACATTCTACCCCTATCATAGATGGAAGAGTCTACAAAACCTGGGCAACTTTAACAATAGTTTTTATAAATTTCATATAGCAATGTTAACACCTACAAACAGTCTGGAAATGAAAATACAGTAGAACCTCCATGGTAGACCATCTCCCTACCCTGACCACCTCTTTAAATTAACCTAATTTTCATAGACCAGACATGTATGTGTCAGTACAGCAGGCCTCGTTTCCTATGTTGACCACTTCCACATGTTGATCAGTTTATTACACAGTCCCTGGGGTAGTCAACTTACAGAAATTCTACTGTACTTGTAAAATAATCCTTTCAGAACTTTTCAAAGCTTCTTTAGAGACAGAGATAGGGCCTACTACAAAAAGACACTTTTCATAGCATTGACAAAGCATCAGAGCCGCTTAGATATTTCCATTGTATATATTAAAAAACGGAGACAGTCAAATGTTAATTAACTTGCCATGATCACACAGCATATAAAACAAATAAAATGCAGAACCCTGACTTAAATGAGCTCTATCTAAAAGCTTACCATCTCAACAAATTTTAAACTTTATCAACAGATCCTGTCTTCAATTTGCCTTTGGTATATACATATATGCTTCCCAAGCCCTTTCAATCCTTCCCCAACTTTTCTTCTCTTTGTAAAAATGCTTCTGCATTATCTTTAAGAACTCATACAAACACATACACATTTGACCTGCATTACCTATGAAATTGTGGTTTAAAAAAAAAAATCACAAAATATTTTACTTCACATAATATTTAAGACAAAGTTGAATGAGGCATATTCAACTTTTCTCCTCCAATGTGAAACAGAATAGCATCAAGAATATGGTGTCAGATGGCACCTCTGCCTCAAAGGAGTAGGGCACTGGCCCCATATACCGGAGGTGGCAGGTTCAAACCCAGCCCCGGCCAAAAACTTCAACAAAACAAAACAAAACAATATGTTGTCAGGGCTCAGTGCCTATAGCTCAGTGGTTAGGGCACTGGCCACACACACTGAGGCAGGTGGGCTTGAACCCAACCCACACCTGCTAAACAACAATGACAACTCCAACAACAACAAAAATAGCCGGGTGTTGTGGCGGGTACTTACAGTCCCAGCTACTTGGGAGGTTGAGGCAAGAGACTTGCTTTAACCCAAGAGTTTGAGGTTGTGGTAAGCTGTGACACCACAGCTCTCTACTGAGGGAGATAACGTGAAACTGTCTCAAAAATAAAACCATGGTGTCAAGTACTGGGAGCAGTGGTGTGCACCTGTAGTCTTAGCCACTCAGAAGGCTGAGTCAGGAGGAACATTGGAGACCAGGAGGTCAAGGCGCCCAAGGGCAACATCATGACAACCCATTTCTAAACCAAACAAAACAACAAAAGAAGAGTATGGTGTCAAGCAAGGAAAATAACCACAGTGGAAGCTGTGGCCATCTAGCAAGGAGCTCAGCTTACATGTATGAAGGCAGAAATGGAGTTCAAATCACAGAGACAAAGAGACCAACAGAAAACAATAGAATACACAAGACACAGATATCTGAAAACCACTAACTGATGACATCCTCATTACTTCTTTTGCCTGAGCCCCTAGCTCCTTTTCAACAATGATTAGTAAGCAATTAAGAGCAAACACATAATTCTAGAACTCAATTCTGAAGAGGTCAGGAGCCTTACCCACTGACTGAAAAGAGGACCTTAAAATCTGACATTAAACTTGGTGACTGCAATAGGGCTATTTGGTCTAGTTTAGTCCTATGAGCTTTAGGATCAAAAACCTGGGGTTTTGAGCTGGGGGCGGTGGCTCACACCTGTAATCTTAGCACTTGGGAGGCATAGGCAGGTGGACAGCCTGAGCTCACAAGTTTGAGACCAGCCTGAGACAGAGTGAGACCCTGTCTCTAAAATATAGCCCAGCGTTGTGGCGGGCACCTGTAGTCCCAGCTACTTGGGAGGCTGAGGCAGGAGAATCACGTGAGCCCAAGATGTTGAGGTTGCTGTGAGCTGTGATGCCACGAACTCTACCAAGGGCAACAAAGTGAGACTACCTCTCAAACAAAACAAAACAAACAAACAAGAAAAAAAAAGTGTTTTTTTCCCCAACATGGAAGAAGCAACAGCAAACTATTGCCACTGGGTCAGAAAATCTCTGTTCATCACAGTTCTGATTTTCCATGTACTTACAAAGGCTTATACGCCTCCAAGCAAAGTGTGAGGCATTTCTCTTTTAGGTATTTTATATTCACAACCAAATTCTGACCTAGTATCAGGGCTACTTTGTCTCTTAAAAGTGACTTGATATTGGGCGGCGCCTGTGGCTCAGTGGGTAGGGTTCTGGCTCCACATACTGAGGGTGGAGGGTTCAAACTCGGCCCCAGTCAAACTGTAACAAAAAATTAGCAAGGCATTGTAGCAGGCGCCTGCAGTCCCAGCTACAAGGGAGGTTGAAGCAAGAGAATCGCCTAAGCCCAGGAGTTGGAGGTTGCTGTGAGCTGTGTGGTGCCATGGCACTCTACTGAGGGCAATAAAATAAGACTCTGTCTCTACAAAAAAAAAAAAAAAAAAAAGTGACTCAATATTCCCAGTAGTGGAGTTTCAGTAATACATAAAATGCATACTGCCCTTTCTCTCATTTGAATTTCAAGTACTGGTATAGTTAGGAGGAAAGAAAAGTCTTAATCACACTAAACATCATCTCACACTGAATTTTTCACTAACTTATTAGATCTAAATGCCCTTTACAATGCCCATATAATTAGCCATCTTTAAAAAGTTTAAAAGTAAAAATGCCCTAATGATCTTGAATAATCTCACCCTCATTAAGCAGTAAAGAATTTAAACAGTTTTCCTACAAGTGACTTTGCCTATATATGTTAACAGACAATTTATAAAATGGAAAACTCCAGGAAGGCATTATACTTGGTCGGTATTCAATTACCAACTCCTGAGCTTATCCATTTACAGACATACTGGCTTGCCACTTAAATACTGCTCCCAAAAGATGAAGAAAACTGTGTTTTCCAAAACTATTGTGGGGTAGCTTAAAAAACAAATGCGGGCCAAAACAGGCTGCAGACCACATGCTAGAAACTACCACTTCTTCCCTGCTTCTTTTAGGCAGGTTTTACTAAAGGTAGGTAACTGTTCCAAAATTTGTATTCCAATGGGTACAGACAGTATATCCAAATTTTCTTCAGGTTTACCTAAAGTGACTAGGGTATCTAATTGTAATATTCTTTAAAAGTCTTAGATGTCTGGCTTGGCGCCTGTGGCTCAAGTGGCTAAGGTGACAGCCACATACACCTGAGCTAACAGGTTCGAATCCAGCCTGGGCCCGCCAAACAATGACAGCTGCAACCAAAAAATAGCCAGGTGTTGTGGCGGGTGCCTGTAGTTCCAGCTACTTGGGAGGTGGAGGCAGGAGAATTGCTTGAGCCCAGGAGCTGGAGGTTGTTGTGAGCTGTGATGCCACAGCAGTCTACCCAGGGTGACAGCTTGAGGCTCTATCTCCAAAAAAAAAAAGTCTTAGATGACTAACTCCGAATAATTATTTTTGGCCAGGAGTGGCTTTTGGTGAATCTCTTGTGTGCTAATAATTACAAGAGTTGCAGGTAGTTAACTCTTATTGGCAAGGACACAATTGACCTGTGATTCAATGTCAATCAGTACTCAAGTTTTCTCCTACCCACTCAGCCAATTCTAAAGTTGCTATAGTACAACATGACCCTGAAGAGCACAAGACAGGTGACTGTTTCAATAACTATACTGCATGTACCATCAAAGGGATTTTAAAATATATATACTATTTGACTTGACATCAAACAAAAGAATAGCTTGGCTCCATTAATGCTGGGGTAATGGATTGTAATTACA